AGGAGAGGAGAGGAGAGGAGAGGAGAGGAGAGGAGAGGAACTGGAGGAAGTGAAAGGCAGGATAATAAACTCACATTCAAGCGCTGTAATGCCTTGATGGCCATCCATGTCTTCCACGGCCTGGTACACCTCACATTTGGTGAGTTGTGTGGCTTGAATGGCAGGGAACAAAATGTACACCAGGAACAAAGGAATGAAACCCATCATTTTGGCTGCTCCTGGATCTTGAAATGTGGACAGGACTCAGCTCCACCTGCTTTTATTTATGAAGGAAGCCTCCAGATCCCTGGCACCAGGTCTGACATCTAGGAAGATGATGAAGAAGGAGTGCTTACGCCCGAAATGGAAACGCAGAGCCTGCCAGCTTCCTTCCAACACTTCCCCCTAACTTTCCTCCCCGTCTCCCCACATCTCGTCAATGCTGAGCATTGTTCTCTGCCCACACAGGTCCACACATGATCCTGCTTCTCATTCAACTCTGGTAAACCTTCGTTTCTTTTAGGGTCAGTTCTAGGAAGCAGGATGTCTCTAACCTAATTTAGACAATACGAGTGAGGCAAACGGAAAACAAAGTCGGGGTTCACAGCCAGCTTGGTTCTTACTCCAAAACACATACAGAATGTGGGAAGGGGATGCACCACATCCTAGGATCAAAGTTGGCATTTGTCTGGCCAGCCTAGCCATGGAGCAAAGTCCAGGAAGAACCCCTTGATATGGTGGCTCACAGCTGAGCCTCAGAAAATGGGATGGAACATGGAGAACGTGAACATCAAATATAACTTGGATCCTAAGACTTCCTACGGAGGAAGACAGATAATTTGAAAAGTTTGTATGAAAATATCTAGCTATCCTATGAGCCATTGCCAAGCTCCCAACCCCAGTCACCACTCCCATAAGTAACTACAGGCAACATTGGCATTAATTAAGACATTGTGCCAATCCAAGGCTAATTTCATAATAACATTGTTCTTCTGAAAGTAGCTTATGCATAGCCCCAGAGTTGACCACAGACAGAAAAGGGTGGCCCAAATCATAGAGGATAGTCCTTTCAGCTATAAAGTCATCTACCCCGAGCAAGTAAGGCCCGGGTACTAGTTCTGAGTGATCTGTGTAACTTGTTGGCATCAAGTGCTGGATTCACAGTATCAGTAATCATTGCCCTGCTGCCTGCCTGTGCTCATCCTTATCCTAATCTATAAACCTGATTTCTTCCATTTCCTGAGGTTTCCATCCTAACCAAGCCACCTAAGACTTAAACACTGAAAGTCTTCCAATTTGTTATTATCTGTAAGTCTTCAGAGTCAAAGAAACGCTTCTCCATTGAATCCCATCTCATAACACAGCATGGATAGAGCCGGGCATGGTAGCCCATAGGTTCGATCCCAGCCCTCAGGAAGCAGAGGCAGATGGATCTCTTGAGTTTGAGGCCAGCCTGGTCTACAGAGCAAATTCCAGGATAGCTAGAGCCACATAAAAAAATAAAAATTAGGGCTGGAGAGATGGCACAGAGGTAAAAAGCACTGACTGTTCTTCCAGAGGTCCTGAGTTCAATTCCCAGCAACCACATGGTGGCTCACAGCCATCTGTAATAAGATCTGGTACCCTCTTCTGTCCTATAGACATACATGTATAGAACACTGTATACATAATAAATAAATCTTTTTAAAAAATAAATAAAAATAAAAAATAAAAACTGTCTCAAAAAAAGAAAGAAAGAAAAAAGGAAACACGGCATGAATGAAACTCATGTGGGAGATGTGGGAAACCAAGATGATGAACAGAAACTCCTGAATGGGGAGAGGCACGTGCTCAGAAACACAGCAAACGTGTTGCCACAAGCCCTGGAAGGGGGCAGGAATGGGAATTCTGTCACACTGAGCAAGTCATGTGGAGAATGTGAGTGAGGGTGGGGGGATGACCTTGAGCCATACAGGAGAACAGTTAGGCCTGGTGAAGTCTTCCCAACAGTGGCATCTATACAAAACGCCTCTGGCCCTGGGCTATGCACAAAGTAACTATGACAGAGTGAAATGGGAGTGCAGAGTCTTAGGGCCCACAGGGGCTTTCTACACTTCCAGGCACTCCCACTCGCCTGTAACACGATTGAATCTCTGCCAGTGCCGGCAAGCAATAAAAAAGCAGTATAAGGCCCAGGAATCACAGCTAAGCCCAGAAGAGACATCAAGTGTGCCCTAGGAAAGAGGAACCGTCATTTCCCTAGAAATGTTTGTAAAAAATGGGGCCACCTGGGGGTAGGTAGCTGATGGGAACAATTGCCAACATTCAGAGGAAGATGTCAGTTCCTGGAGGTGGAACACAGACAAAGATCTCGGCACCAAAGGAGGAAGAAACGGAAAGACATAGGGAAAGACAACTGGCCAGCGTGGAAGGCTCCTGCCCAAATCTCCTTTCCAAGGTGTGGGGAGTTAGTGAGGATCCCTCACACAGAGGCTGAGATCTGAATCAAATGGCGAAAAGGGATTTACCACACACTCTTCCGGACGTCTTCAAAGATATCCGAAAATACCTGTTCACTCTATCTGAAAAAGTTAGTGTTTCTAAAACCAGGAGTCATCTTTTGTGGACTTCTGGAAACCGAGTCCAGCTTCTGCTTCAGCAGACTGTCATCCGACCCAGTAGTCTGAAAGTGAATGGCACTGGATTGAGAGGCTGGCACTGCCATTTGGAGTGAACATCTGAAAGCCAGAGTAAAGTTATCGTTGCCTCTTACGGCTAACACTCCCATTCTGTTCCACTTCATTTCACAATTCAGAAAACCACACCAGGTAGAGAACGAGACAAAATCTTGGACTTGACCCCCAGACTTTTGTTGTTTAATTTAGTTGGGTTTGGTTTTTGAAGACATGGTCGTGGATTTCGTTTTTAATTTACAATCAAAATCTCATAAAGAAATGCCAAGATACATCACAATGGATCACCTGTCTTCTAAACACATTCTTCCTTGTTCTTATCCTGATCAGTAGGTCAGTCCATCTTCCAAGGATGGTGATTCCTCTGTGTCCGCTAGTCTCTTTGCCTGAGCAACGTAGAAGAACTTAATCACAGCTGCGGCTTGAATTTTTTAATATTATTTTGTGCATGTGTGTGTGTGTGTGTGTGTGTGTCTGTGTGTGTCTGTGTGTCTGTGTGCACACTGTGCACGCGCGCGCGCCAGCATGTAGGTCATAGAACAACTTGGGAGAGTTGGTTTTCTCCCTGGACTCCAGAGATCAAACTCAGGTCTCAGTCTTAGCGGCAACACTTTACCCTCTGACCCATATTGCTGGTCTGGACCTGTAGCTTAATGTTTAAAATATTTTAAAATGCATCATGTGTATAAGTGTTTTGCCTGTATGTGTCTGCGCATGCCTGGTGCCCATGGAAGCCAGAAGAGGGCCTCAGATCCCTAAACTAGAGTTACAAATGATTGTGAGCAGCCACATGGATGTTGGAAATTGAACCAGGGCCTTCTCCAAGTTTCTGTAGCTGGTGAGATAGTTTAATTAACTAAAGTTTAATGAAATCCCTATTAAACCTCCAAGACGCTCTTGTTCACAGGGCTTAAAGATGCAGAGATGAGAAACCGTAGTTCAGAAAGGATGTCAGCGGCAGGGCTGGTAAGCAGGACGGCTGTTTGAACTACTTCTGGTTCCCAGGCCCATGAACTCTCGTTACTAGAGATAGACCTATGTAATGGTCATCTGTTCTATTAGGGAGGATAGCACATCATTCCCAAACAATATTACTCAAATCCAATTTTAAAGACTGCTTTCTTTTTTTTTTTTTTTTTGGTTTTTCGAGACAGGGTTTCTCTGTGTAGCTTTGCGCCTTTCCTGGAACTCACTTTGGAGACCAGGCTGGCCTCAAACTCACAGAGATTTGCCTGCCTCTGCCTCCCGAGTGCTGGGATTAAAGGCGTGCACCACCACCACCCAGCTAAGACTGCTTTCTTAATCTTAAGAGCTGCATGCAGTAAGTTTACTGGAGATGAACTTGGGCGTGGGGCCAGCGGCTGGGGGTTCTGGAAGCGGGATCGCCCAGAAGAAGGTGAATTGTATTGCTACTACATCAAAAGCTTCAGATGACCCTGAAAGAGCCTCTCAAGCTTGCTGGCCCTGAAGAGTTGTCTCCACCAACAACGCCTATCTCAGCTTTTCTGTCTATTAAGTGGACTTTGATGAGATCTGCTCCTGGGAAGTTGATGTGATCTTAGGTAAGTGGCTGTTTTTAAAAGAGGAAAATTATTTTTCTTCTCTTAAACTCATGGTGGCTTATTCGTATGTTTGGGAAATGTTTTTAGCTCATATTTTGCTAACTTAATCTGTAGATCTTCCAAAGAGGGTTTTATTTATTATATATGTGTGTGTATGTTTATTTATGTATCTATTTATTTATTTGTGTAGAGCCTGATGCTTCGTGCATGTTAAGCAAGTGCTCCATCACTCAGCTACATCCCCAGCCCAAGGAGGAAATTTAAATAAGCCTCTCCCATAGTCCACTTTCTCAGCTTGGAATTTCCTTGACTGAATACAATAATGTACATGTGAACTTCAGATTTGAGAAGATCAAGATGATGGCTGTATATTCTCTTCTGAAAAATTTTACTGCTATAAAATTGTTTGTTTGTTTGTTTATTTGTTTTTCCAAGACGGGGTTTCTCTGTGTAGCCCTGGCTGTCCTGGAACTCACTCTATAGACCAGGCTGGCCTTGAACTCAGAGATCTGCCTGCCTCTGCCTCCCGAGTGCTGGGATTAAAGGCATAGGCCACCACCACCTGACAATAGATAGTTGTTCAATGCATAAACTAAGCCACTGGTGAACACCTTTTTGGTATTTTTTCCTGTGGAAGCCAAATTAACAGAAAGTGCTTGCCTATCATCTGTAGTGACAACCTTAACTATCTACATAGAAATCTCCAAATATTGAAATTTATAATATAGTATGAAATTTGCAGTATTTTACATGGCTGAGGTGAGCATGTAGAATGTTCATTTGCAAAAAAAAAAAAGTTTCTGCCCTCTGTATTACATTATAAATGACCAGAAAGGAGAAATATCTTATTTTTATTAGCAATAACAAATCACACTGGGGCTGGAGAGATGGTTCAGAAGACTCTTCCAGAAGACCTGGACTTGATTCCCAGAACCCACATGGCAGCTCACAGCCATCTGTAACTCCAGTTCCAGGGGATCCGATGCCCTCTTCTGGCCTCCACAGCCACTGGACATGCAAGCAGTACACACAAATACACACAGGCAAAACGTCATACACATAAAAAAAAAGTGGCACATGTTTAAGAATAAACTTATTAAAACATCAAATCTATATGAAAAGTACTATAAAATATTACTAGAGTACATAAAATAAAATATA